AAAAAAAAAAAAAAAAAAAAAAAAAAAAAAAAAAAAAAAAAAAAAAAAAAAAAAAAAAAGGAGTTCCGGAAAAAAAAATCTCTTACCAGAGAAATGCATACAAAATATGCCTTGTGCATGAAGGAAAACAATCAAACTATAGTAAAACAAAAATTGCATAATTTTGATGATAAAAACGATATGGGTGCTGGAGAAAAGAATTAAGCTTCAACTTGCTTGAAAAATGAGATAAGAGTAGGGATTATCTAAATCTTGATGATAGAAACCACAGTTATGGGCTCTGTCTTGTATGCCTTATACCATAACTATACCTTCTTTGGACTGTTTTAGATCAAAGCTGAGCACCCCATCGAAAATTTATAAATATTTGGAAACCCAGCAAGTATTAGGTCAAGTTGCTCGTACCTTATGTCTGATACTGAAAAGTAAGTGTGATAGGCAAATGTGAATGAGAAAGGCTTTCCATCTGCATTGGTATTCCTAACACGTGATGTCAACGACAGCTCCCCAGCAGGTCCTAGAGCTACCCTCAGACGGTACTCATAACTACAATTTAGTAAAAGAACAGTATTACTCACAGAAGCGTGGAAATTTTTGTGATTGCAATGCTGCATGAACCCTGTATGGAATTTTCAGGAAATAAATGCAAGTAAACATGTTCCCTTACCTGTGTGGCCAAACCCGTGCATCCTCTTCAGATGGCTTTAGGATTAGATCAACAAAAGTCTTACTGGAGGTATTCGTTTGAAGAGGAGGTGGACTATTATCAATGCTCCAAAATCTGATTCTAGCAAATCCATGTCCATCAAGTGGACCAAGATTTGAAAACTGCAATGGATGGATAACTATCATGTAACAGGATGAAATCAACATAAAATTCATTCCATGCATTAAATTTCCAAATAAGCACATACTTGAGGAAAACAAATTGGAATCCCTCCACGAATTGGTTTTGGAGGTTTGAAAATGGCCTGCACAGCAACAATAAATTCCATTAAATAATTTTGATAAAGCAACCTGAAATTACAAGAAATGTAAGTGTCAATGATAAATTAAGCACAGCTACAACCTTAAGCTCGAGGACAACAATATCAATGGCCAAGAAAATAATCAGGTTTTAAATTAAAAGAAAATTTCAAATTCATTTTTCACAGAGTTGTATGAATTTAGAAGAATAAACTGTACATCATAAGAAATAAGCATACAAATACCTGGAAATTTATCGAGGACATATGTTTAATAAGAAAATAGTGTAGGGCAATGATAATTTTCAGAAAGTTAGAATAGAAAAATATACAAATAATTTGAACGTTCTCTGAACCCTTCAACAATTCATTTTAATACGAAACAGAATGTGTTCAACGACAACCCAAACGAGTCACAAACTAATAACCGGGGAAGAGATGACCACCACCAAGTAACAACTCCAATCAAGGTTAATCAAAAGAACATAGTGATACAAAAGTATAGGTTTTTGGAAATATTACATTACACCACAAACAGGAGCAATGGAAGATGGGGCTTGAACTCCTACCGGGTGGGGGAAACACGACAACCAAACCGATGAGCTACCCTTGAAAGCTTTCTATTACAAACGAATCGATTGTGAAGGGCACTCCAGGAATGTTATACTATGTTTCATCCTTTCTATTGTTCTAACCAAGAATTCGCCTATTATGTAATTGCCCTATCAGCACCCAACTACCAAATATCTTTCATTACACATAAAGTGACGAATTTAAATGCAATGAAGGCAGCGTATCAAAGAAATGAGAATGATTCAACTGATTCAAAAAATCCATGAAGAAATTTCAATAGCACCTTGTTACTAACAAAAAGCAGCTCTTCCCCATGGTCATTCTTCCAAGATGTCACGTGGGCCCCATATAAATAGACCTGAATAGAACAAACATGAATCAGTAGCCAAATAACGAAACAAAAAAAGGAATCTGCTCAACTCTGAGCAACGAAATGGAAACATACAATCGTGGAATTGAGTAGAATGGTAAGCAAAAACAACAAATTCATAGAGTAATAAATATTGTAGGATTTAGAATTAAAAGGAGTTAATGGACTTTCAAAGTCACAGGATTGTTTTCTCTGCAGTCCCTCACCCCCTTGTGAATGGGGAAAATTTGTCAAGCTATAGAATTCATTACAGTATCTTAGATCCTTGACGCACATAAAAATTAGAGATCGGAAATGTCAAATTTACATGTATTCTATAAATACAAGAACAGATCACAAACATACAAATCAATACAGAAATCCACGAACTAAGAGACAGAACTCGCATAAATTAAAAGAACACGAACACCCTAAGTTAAAATCAGATCAACTCCACATTTGAGCAACACACACAAGCGGGGAGGAAATCCCAAATCCCGAATCCTAAGTCCTAAATCCTAAATCCTAAATCCTAAAGCAATCATCTCATTTCTCAATCATTCATTCAAATCCAACAGCAATACCTCAGCAGAGCTACCACGCGGATCGCGAAGAACGACTTTATCGAGGCCATTGATGCCCTTAACGACATCCACAGAACCGGAAGAAGCTCCGGAGGATGGCGTAAGCTTTTCGCCGCTCATTTAGAAGCCCTTTTTGTTGCTCGAATTCTTGTTCGTGTTTCAGATCGAGAATCTCAGCCGGAGGCTGTTAATCCATTGCCTTGAGCTCGAATCTTGATTTATATTGTTGGCATTTTGATCACAAACTCGAGAACATAACAGTCCTCATCAAGTCTCTCTGCAAATCTCCGAATCTCGTGAAACTCCTTTCTCTGGATTGCCTTTTTGTCTTCACATTAAATTCCGTAAACAAAAAATAATTATTATTATAATAATTTAATTATACGAATATAAAATATTAATAAGTTTTATAGAAATTGTGATTAAACTTTTATATGTTAAAATGGTAATTGAAATCTTATTTTAAAAAAATTATGTCTACGTGGACTAATAATTTAGAACATACTTTTTAATTAAACATTAATTTTTTTTAATATAAAAATTTAGTTTTTCTTATTTTTTAAATATATTTTATTTCTAATTCATTTTCTACCCGTTAATTAATTATAAATTTTAAATTAACTAAATTTGTAACGCCCCTAATTTTCTAAACCTAATTAGTGACGTCACCCATGCATACATAATTCATTACACGGGAGCTCATCATAAATAACCTTGTAAAAACACAACCAAGTCTTTCTTAAAGATTCATCAATCCAAAACAAACTTATCTCCTCCGAAAATAAAACCTTCAGTAACTGAAGTCAAAATAAATATTAATAACAAACGTAAACTCCTAAAAATATCCCCTCTCCAACTTCCATAGTGTCTTCAGCTCTGCGGTCAACCTGGCATCTTGCCTTTACCTGAAAAATGTAGGTACCACGTGGCTTGAGTATTTTATGAAATACTCAATAAGTGACCTTCGTTGTATGATGGTGTGTGCCCTATGGTCCCTACATGCACCATGTTTTATTATGTGATATGACTATATGATATATAAATTATGTGACTGTTTATGCTATGAAACATAATGAATTATGTTATGTGAAGTTATGAATGATATGTTAGTAATATATGCCATGAAAATGTTGATTGATGTCATGGATACACGTAGTATTATCGAGTCATGTCATGAGATGCTTATGCAATACTTTCATGTTATGTAATATGTAGTCATGTGAGATAGACACGTATATATTTAATGTTAGCAATGCTTATGCGTTACAAAATTTATTAATTGTTATCGGTTTAAAATAAGTAATTATGAAGTATATTTATTTTTATTATAATAATAAATATAATATGTGAATTTAAATTTTTTTTTGTTTTAAAAAATGAGGACTAAATTAATTATTACTAGAATGAAAGTAAATAAAAATAAAAATAAAACCGATCTTCAATTTGAGTTATTTTAGTTTTTTATTTATTTAATAATAATTTAAAAAGTTTTTTTGTTTTTTTTTCATGTAATTGAAATACTTTATAAATAGAAAATTATAATTTAAATTTTTATCTCTTCCTAAAATATCGAATAAAATGGATAAAAAATAAATAAAAATTCGTTAAATTATCAAGTATTTTATTTATTAAAAACCTCGCTGCTATTCTACGCTATTTAAAATTAAATTGTGATTTTATCGGATCTTTTTATCATTATTGGTAAACTTTTTAAATATTATAAATTCGTATTAAGCATCGCTCTTTATTTTCTTTTTGTTTTTTTTTTTATTATTTTTTTTTCTTTTGTAAAAGATTTTTTTTTTCTTTGGAAAGAAGTTAAATTAATAAAAATATTTTTACTAAATCATTAATATTTTAAACTTAAAAAAATAAGTTTAAAAATACCCTAAAATTGTTTAAAAAATATCTTTTAATTTTTTAAAAATTCAATATTATCCTTTTAAAATTTCAAATTTTTTAAAAAAATTAAAAAAATATTTTTTTAAAACTTAAACAAAAAAAAAAAATTGAAACTAGTTAAGTTTTATGTGTGTAACAGCCTAAGCCACCGCTAGCAGATACTTCGTTGGGCTTTTCTTTTTCGAGCTTCCTCTCAAAGTTTTTAAAATGCGTCGACTAGGGAGAGAGGTTTACACATCCTTGTAAAAATGCTTCGTTCCCCTCTCCAACCGATGTGAAATCTCCCTTTCGAGGTCTAGCGTCCTTGCTGGTACTCGTTCCCCTCTCCAATCGATACGAGATCTCATAATCCACCTTCTTTGGGACCCAGTGTCCCCTCGATGCTGACACATTGCCCATGTGATATCCCACATTGGTTGGAGAGGAGAACGAAACACCCTTTATAAGGTGTGGAAACCTTTCTCTAGTAGACGTATTTTAAAGCCTTGAGGGGAAACCCGGAAACCTTTTCCTAGCCTTGAGGGGAAGCCCGAAAACCTTTCCCTAACAGATGCATTTTGAAGTCCGAAAGGGAAAGCTTAAAGAGGACAATATCTGTTAACGGTGGGCTTGGGCTTGAGCTGCTGTTACAGTCCACCCATTCGGGGCCCATTTTGAAGTCCGAAAAGAAAAAGCTTAAAGATGACAATATCTGCTAACGGTGGGCTTGGGCTTGAGCTATTGTTACAGTCCACCCCGTTCAAGGCCCAACGGTCTGGAGGCACTCATTCTCTTTTCAATTAACGTGAGCTCTTAGTTAGGTTGGTGACTATTTATGGAAATAGAGTTCACACCCCAACTCAACTCAACTGAACCAACTTGGTTGAGTTGATGTTATTGGGTGGTTTATTATTACTATTATTTAATTATTTAAAAATGAATTAAAAATTAATTAACAATTTAATAAATTAACTTTTTTTTTTTCTTCACTTTTTAGTCTTTGTTAGCATTCGATTCTCACATCAATTTTGGAATCGCTTCCATTTACAGAAAATGACGAAATTAGAGCCCAGAAGCTTCCAATTCGTTCGCTATCCACAACTCTGCGTGGAATCGTTTTCAATTCCAACTCCTTCCAGATCAGATCGTCTTTGATCAAAGACGAATCTGCTACTTAATTTGATTTCTACGTCACGGTATCATCTCTTAAAGTCACTGCGGTGATTTCTGACCTTAACGTTGTAGGATCGTGATCGCTTTGCTCGAATCTTACTTCACAACCACAAGGAATGCACAGATAAGGTCTTGAATTCGACGCAAGAGCAGCGTCCTCCCTACCGCTGCGCTTTCAGTTAAGTGATCCATGATTTTAGTTTAGAGATTATTGATTGTTTGCTTCTAAATCTGGAAATAGGGCCGAGTATTGTTATAGTTGGAATTAGGCGTGTTAACAGGGGAAACTGAATGAATTGGATTGAGTTATCAATTTGAATCTTCTTTTGAGTTGAGTTCGTGAGTTCTTGATAGGAACGAATCGGAATTTTTTGTTAAAGGGAAAGTTACGTACGCTTAGCTGTTGTGAAATTAGGTTATGATGTAGTTTTTGTCGATAAAATTTTAGAAAGTGTGGGAACTTTTGTTTTAGATTCAATCCTGGCTCAAAATGGTATCTACAAGTTATAGTGTCTATAAGCATGTGATCACTCTGTTTATGTGCCCTAGGCCTCGACTATAACTCTTATCAAATTGGTAAAACTCAAGCCACCTTACTAGTTGGATACTTCTTGCGAAATCAACTTAAGGAAAAGTTTAGGAAAAGTTTTGGAATGGATTAACTTGATGATCAAGATCAAGAGTAAAGAAAACTGAGGTTTGATCAATACTATTTGAATTACTCTAGCATACAAGTTCTAAAAAACTTGCCTTAAGCTCTCAACAAAGCTAAAATAGAAACTCTATTCTCTTCCATTCCAAAATGTTGTGATATCTACTCTAAAAGAAAGAAGGCTACACATAACCTTTCTATTAAAATGGCTAGTTGATGAGAAATACCCATAACTTCCATATTAAAGTGGCTAGTTAATGATGAATATGGCAACCCATATGAATTACAATATAATCTTAACTCCTCTATTAAAAACTAGAAATTAGCTTACATGACAAACAAATATTTAAATTTTAATTAAGTAATACAATAAATGGAATATGCTTATTAACCTTCCTTGGACTAGTTCCATAAATTCCCATAAATTCTAACTCTGAGTTCATTAAGTGTCAATTAAATTGCATTTAATGCATCTAAACTTAACACTTTGCACAACATGTAAGGGAAGTCTCAAACCTTTTCTAGAATTTCGTTTGACGAGCGCACCATAGCTTGAATAGATGTGACTAAAGCTTGTTGTAACTTCTTAACTCTCCTCCTTGTAATTGGTCGTTGGTCGATAACCCTAAAATATCAACATCCACTACAAACGGTAGAGGGACGATATTTTTCTTTGAAATGGAAGAGGGAGTGCAAGATAACTAAGAGGGGAAGATATAAGAAAAATCACACTTTTATAAGTTTATTGTCATCTAGAATATTACACTCTGCTGTACACACAGTTGTTCTTCCTCGAGAAATGCAAATCAAAGAAAAATAAATTGCAGACCACCTAATTGCTCTCCTGAAAAAAATTGAATGAAAAAATAAAACTGAAAACTAAACATATGTTCAAAAATAGAAAAAAAAAAATGCAAGCTCACAACATAGCTTTTAACATAAAAATGAACACCAAATGCTTAATAAAGAGCAGAGAAAAAATTAAAGATGTTTGCAATCGACTGCAGGCGAAAAAAACAAAACTCGAGTTTCGTCCATCAATCATGAACACAAGTCTCTGGGCAACAGAAGCAGCTAAAAATGCACTGAAGCTGTCCCTTCCACTCCTTACCAGTTGAGTTCAATCAGTTCAGGAGGCTCCTTAGATCTAATCTAACAACATATGGATTTGAAAGCCAAGCTTCTTCCACTGGTAATATATAACTGCAGGAAACTGAGTGAAATGATCAAAGGAAACCATATAAGAACAGTTAGAATAGTTGAAGGGCCATTTTATGCTTATTCTGTTTCCATTTTGGCAACTTATAAAAGGCGTCTTTAGTCATTCCAAACTTCTCCCTGAATTCTTCTGATGAAAGGTATGTCTGCAGAGTTGCAAAATTAAACATCTCAGAAAAAATCATGTCAAGAATCTATAGATTCAACTTGAAACATGACTGTTTTAGTATTACCTCTCGTTTTGTCACATCAATGTCTGAAATAGGGTCGGCTGACGTAGTTTTTAGACGCTCGTATGGATATATTGTGAGGCCTTCATCATCTTCGGCCTCGCCTTCTTTCACATCTTCTTGTATGGTGAGAGTTTCGATTCTGACTGGGACTGAGTTGTTCTCCTTCTCCTTAT